ATCCCATGTTAAATCCCATAGAGCGAGGGAGGGGTAGCCGAACGATCCTATAAACCACATTATTCATATCAGAAGTGGTTAAAAATAGTCACGTGTTTGCAAATAATTTTCCCAACATACCTCTATATATGTGTGAAGTAACATTAGTGTCACTTCTAATAATGACCATAATACCGCGGCTTAAACATTTTAAAACCCCTTATTGAAACGGTTTTTCAGATTGATTATTTGATTTGAAATCAAGAATTTAATAAAGGTAATTTTATTTTTCTTATAAGCAAATACAATCAATTGTCTAACAATTGCAGTGTTGACATGTAATAGCGGAAATATTATGTAAGTTATATATATTATAAATAATCAATTTTTAATTAAATTTTGTTTACTATAAAACAATCATGTCTAATTAAATCACAATCTATATTACTTGTATATGACCAAAAACATATCACACCCATAAAATATCTAATATAATTATATTCTGCAATAAACTTTTGTGTTCTAACAAAATCTTTAGTGTAAAATTAAGCTAACTTTAATATTAAATAAAATTCTGTCTAAAATAGCTAAAACCCAAAACCCTTAACTACAACATTAAACTTAAATTATAATCATGGTTATTAGATTGCTAAAGAAGCTGTTTTTCAAAATAAACGAACTGGTTGGTATTATAAACATACTGCTATTATCTGGCTTAGGATATCAGATTCATAAAATCAGTTCTCAATATTTTTCATATGAAACAACGACAACCATTAAGATTAAAAATGTCGGTATTTTGCATATACCAGCGCTGACTATATGTGCGCCCCTGTCCCGAATTATATACCCCAATCTAACCCACTATTTCGCCATGGCAAATGATGCAACAATGGTTAATGATCTAAATTTCTCGATTCTCTCTATCCAAGAACAGTTCGCATCGCTGTTACCACATGACAATGTATTTAATTGTCATTATCCCATCTCACGTAAGCGGAGACTCCCTTGCAATCAAGTAATACCATATAAGCTGTCGATCAACGACAATGTCATCTGTTGGACCATATTTTCCCAGTGGTCGACCGAACCCACTAAATGGTATCATATGAACGTCACGCGAGCCGAGTCGCCAATAATGATGAGAATCCGTTTCCCAAACAAAACTTTACTTACAAACGGAGAACTTTACGTACGGTTACATTCATCGTTGGAAAAGATTAGAAATTATCATGATAACCAAACCATCAAACTTGACGTACGGTATTACAACACATGCACCATGAAATATAGAGAGGTCATTATTAAAGATACTAGCAAACAATTGAGTGATGAGCAATGTTCGAATTGTGTGCATGAATGCACGATTAAAAAATATTACGAACAATTTAACTTATTGCCATCATGGTATCTCATTTACAAAAATGATTACAAAGATAACAGTACAACTTTTACAACAAATGATACCGATCTGTTTGATAATAATTTTCAACATATTTGCAAACGAGAATGCAGTTATCGGGAACAATGTGTTGAACACTATTATTTAAGTGACTATCAATTAAATAACATTGGTAAACCCAGTTTGTATTATAAATTAAAAATAACATTACCGACAGAACCGCAAACATTATACTCGATATCATTGAAAATGTCATTTGAAGAGTATTTAATATTTGTGGGATCATTAATAAGTCTATGGCTCGGAGTATCAATTCTTATGGTTACTAATTTTTTAACAGATTTTTATATTAAATATAAATCTTCTATAATATATTTTTGTCATAAATATTATACCAAACTTATTACACAACAACCAAGTGTTAATAATACTATCAATATAAATAATCCCAATATTAATATAATGCTATTTACCATTACAAATAATCGACAACATGTACGTTCAACTAATAATCAAGAAGAAAATAATACAATTAGGATATGTTCCGCATAAATATTCACTTACACATAAATTTAGTAACTTGTAAAGCACTTTATATTAAATTCTTTAATGGAAGAAAGTTTAAACTCGGTTTAAACGACATTAAAGTCTATTACATAAAATAAATGTTGACAAAGATAAGCCTTGTATCATGTTAGTATTCATAATTAGATTCACATTGAAATGCTATTTCTAATTGCCTAAATAATTATTATGTTATTAAATAAAAAATATTAATTTTAAAGTACAGTAAACATTGTATGTATAATAAATAATTTTTAATTTATTTAAATTAATTATTTTAACTTATACTTTACATTAATGAAATCAATGCTCCATGCTTGCAAGTGAAACTTGATTAGACAATAAATATATTGTACTAAAATCAATCACAAAGTCCTTTATCATCGTTCTCATTACGAAATTTACACCCACCACTACAACAATGACCAGCATCGGCACAGGGTTTACCCTCTGGTAGACAATTATCTGAATCCTGTGGTGCGGCGCGGCGTCGGTCTCTACGAAAGTGCCCATAGGATGCGGCATAAGGTGCGGCCATTGCTGAGGCAAACGGCACCGCATCCACATCGTTGGCCCCGTTGTGTATGAGAGTGATTGTCATCAATAGAAAGCACACATAAACAAACTTCATGCTTATTGTTAGCTTTAATCTGTGTGTTGATAGTTTGATATTAAAATAATGATTCAATTGATATAAATACTTACCTTTTTACAACAGCAGTATATCTTAATAAATGGTGTCTTTTTGTGTAAACATATGGTTTTTTATATTTTATTCATTAATATTATTTGTTTTAATGGCAAATACCTCAATTAATGTATTTTCATTACAACATCACATTATTGAATTGCATAATCCATATTACAGTAAATTTATATACTTTTAATTAATTTAATTCTTTTAAATTAAAAAAAGTTTTGTGTCATTTTCTTTGACCATCTGGGTTTTGAGAACTGTGTCTGGTGTTTCTTTGAAAGTTAATAATAACTCGCAAACAGTAAAGACTTTAAAAACTAACATTTATTTCAATATTTTAAACAAAATAACATTTTTAATCATTTTAACTAAAATAACAAAACAACAAATGATTCAAATTATGAATTCTTTGTAGCATTTTTGATGACAACCTGTGGAATAGGGAACAAAATTATAACGCAAACAATAAAACACATGATAAAAATCAAATACCGTTTTCACTTCAACGTATTCGTGAAGACCCTCTTCGCCAAACTCGCGGCCAAAACCCGACTGTTTGTAACCACCAAACGGTGTCTGCGGCTTAACCGCCAGAAAAGTGTTGATCCAAACGGATCCGGCCTCCAGTGCTTCAGTCAGCAAAAGTGCCCGATCAATGTCTTTAGTGAAGGCACCGGCAGCCAAACCATAACTGGTATTATTGCACCGATCGATCACTTCCTCCAATGTCTTAAACTTGAAGATGGACTGCACGGGTCCGAAGATCTCCTCCTTTCCGATCCGCATGTCTTCCGACACATCACCGAAACTGTCGGTCAAATCAAACAAAACAATGGTTGCATTAAAATGAAGATAAATGTCAATTGTATTATCGCATACACTGTGGGCTCAATGAAGTAACCCTTAGTACCCCAGCGTTTGCCGCCGACCAGCAGTTTTGCGCCCTCTTTACGGCCCGACTCAATGAGTTGCAACACTTTGTCAAACTGTGTTTCGTCGATCTGCGGGCCGTGTTGTGTGGCCGACTCGTACGGGTCGCCCACCACTCGCTTTTTGGCCAATTCTACCGCTTTTTGGACAAACTTGTCATAAATGGTGTCCTGAACGTAGAGACGAGTGGACGCACAACATGTCTGGCCCTGATTTAAAAACACAGTCTCATGCTATATATGGGTAATAAATGGCATAATTAATTATCATTATTAATCAAAACTATTAATTAAAATACTGACGGCAACGGCGACGGCCTCATCGATGTCCGCGTCGTCGAAGATAATGAGCGGTGATTTGCCGCCCGTTTCCAAAGTCACGCGTTTCATATTGGACTTCCCGGCGGCGATTTGAATGAGTTTGCCCACCTCTGTAGAGCCCGTGAACGCTATTTTGTCCACATCCATGTGCTCAGTGAGTGCCGCACCGGCGGTGTGTCCATAACCGGGCACAACATTGACCACTCCGGGCGGGAAACCGGCCTCTTTGACGAGTGCCGCGATATAGAGAGCGGTCAGTGGTGTCTGTGATTCAGTGATAAACAAGAATAGTTAATAATTATTTTAATTAAAATTATACTTGTATTTATACACATACCTGTTCTGCGGGCTTAACAACCAGAGTGTTACCGGTAGCCAACGCTGGCCCTAATTTGCCAGCTAGCAGGAATAGCGGGAAATTCCACTGTTTATAATTGAAAATTACAAATAATTACTTTTAATATTTTAACTCGTAGTAACAAAACAAGACATACTGCAATAATTTGTCCGCAAACTCCCATCGGCTCGACTCGGGTGTAGGCGAAGTTAGGCCCGTCTGCGGGAACTACTTTGCCGTGCACTTTGTCGGCATAACCGGCGTAATACCGCAACTGACCCAGGGTACCCTGGATGTCACCCACCGAGTTTAGGTATGGTTTGCCGTTGTCCAGTGTCTCCAATGAGGCCAAATGTTCAGTGTCTCTCTCAATCAAGTCGGCCAACTTAAACAATAGTCGGCCCCTTTCCGAGGCGTCCATTGTGCGCCACACCGAACCCTATCAGTCATATATACGGTATGTTTTATTGGAAATGGGGTAGGCATGGTTTATATAGATGGATTATTTTGTGATATACCCGTTTGAATGCAAGTCTGGCCGCTTTGACGGCCAGATCGATGTCATGTCTGTCGCCCTCCTGTACTCTCGCGATCACATCTCCGGTCGCGGGGTTTACGGTCTCAAAGGTCTTTCCACTCACGCTATTCACGAACTCGTTGTTTATGAATACCTTGATTATCAGGGTTTAAATGTTTTAATTATTATTTAATTTTAATGTTTCTAAATTTCTAATTAATTATTATTTAATTTTAATGTTTCTAGATTTCTAATTAATTATTTGATGCCAATTTGTTTGTTTCAAACCCATATATTTGAATAGTTAGTTCCATATGGGATTAAGAGTAGTTATTATTAAAATTTTAGTTACAAGTACTAATAATTTTATAAATCTCCCCGTTGCAAATTTAACAAATTTAAATAAATTTTTATCATGTTTTAGATTATTGCAAACTTTACATTTTGGAAATAATTAAATTTGATAACTAAATAAAAATATGAGTACATTTTTCGGGCAATTGTAGGATAAACTATCAATTCAATCAAATGATGCATTTAATGGCAAACATATCGATGACATTCGGAGCTATTCTAGAAACTTGCTCAAACTCATGCTTATCTTATTGTAAGATTAGTGCTAGTTGTTGCTTAGATTTTTAGCTCTATTCAAAGACACATTTTGAGTTGGACTCAAATGTGAGTGACTCAAAACCGGTATTAGGCATTACACATGCGTAAAGTGCGTGATAT